GATTTGTGGAAGAGCTGACATGCAGCTTTTTTATGGGTTTCTGTTTCTCTCTTTTACTTCCAGGTGGTTTTTGAAGTGGGCTTCAACAGCCCGCGAGGCGGACATGTTGCTCTGGACGACATTTCCTTTTCTTCAGAGTTTTGTAACAAAGACACAGGTGAGCTGTGACATCATGAATCCCAACAAGCCAACCAAACACCGAGAGAGCCGCAGAAATCATTTCTCCCAGAGAGCCAACATGCTGATCCCTGGCATTACTTCCACAGAGCCAGCCTTCGATCCGTCCATCGCCAACTGTGATTTTGAATCTGGTCTCTGCCTCTACACCCAGGACCGCAGCGTCGCATCGTCTTGGAGAAGAGTGTCGGTGAAACCCAACATTTTCAGGAATGGAGACCACACCACAGGAGCAGGTGAGAGAAAACTGCAAACACGACTTAATGACATATTTCACCAAACCTCCCAGATTCAGCACAACATGGATGGTGAAATATGTTCATTAAACTGAATTAAAATGAAATTCTGTGCACTAACTAATCAGAAATATTAGTTCTGCTAATGCTAAAGAGCTATTTCAACAAGTTATTTAGCAGAAGCTAATGCTAAAGAGCTATTTCAACAGGTTATTTAGCAGAAGCTAATGCTAAAGAGCTATTTCAACAGGTTATTTAGCAGAAGCTAATGCTAAAGAGCTATTTCAACAGGTTATTTAGCAGAAGCTAATGCTAAAGCTTCAACTATGTTGACATCCATGTTCTGTAATGACTTTAGGTATTGATTTATGTTTTTATCTTCTTCTCTACTGTTGGTTTTATTTTGTTCCTGTAGGTTTTTTCCTTTTAAAAAAGAAATCGGGGGGAAGAAACAGAGAAAATGGAACGGCTGCAGAAGTGTGCTCACCAGTTTCACACTTTTTTCCTTCAGTTTCAAGGAGTTTTGTCAGAGAGGAATAAAAACCAATACTTTCTTATGAAATGCCGGCATTTGTAGTTGAAAACAGATTTTCACCAGAAAATAAATGCCACCTTCTCCCACCAGGGTCCTTCCTGTTGGCCCACTCCCGGATGGGCCCGCGCTCCGGCTACGTTAGCAGCGTGATCAGCCCCACGCTGCCGGGGAACAGCAGTTCTGCCTCAGGTTCTACTTCTCTCTGAGAGGTGAGTCGACTCCGGCTGTGAAGTGTCTCTGGTGTGAACGGTTTGCAGGAATCTCGGGTTTTTCTGAATAAAAACTGTGGCAGGTTTCAACCAGACGGAGCAGGCGCTGGTTTACCTGCTGCGGCAGGGAGGCCGGCGGGAGAAGATCTGGACCCAGGCCGAAAAGTCCAGGGGAATCTGGATCTCAGCAGACGTGACCTTCCAGACGTCGCAGCCGGCCAAGGTCAGTGGAAGACGAGAGGGAACCGCATGTGGAAGAACGAACAGAGAGAGACTGGAGGGAGGGAGAAACCACGGGAAAATGAGTCCTGACTGCTGCAGAGGAAAACGAAATGATAACATGAGAGAAAAAATACACAGGAACTTTGGATTAAAGTTGGAAAAACAATAAAACCAAAACGGATGAAAAAAATGGGCAGAATTCCTGGAGAAATACTGAGGAGTGGAAGTTTGGAAAAATATATTTTCCAAAGCTTTCATCCATCCTTTTTATAGTTTGAATCTAAAAATGTTTGAACTTTGATAAATAAATCAAAGCCTGAAAATCAATAGAAGAAATTTCTAAACAAGTTCCAGAGATGGACCAGAACCAACAGCCTTTTTTACATTTTTGCTTCTCACCTTTCCACTCAGCTAGAAGCTCCCACTGCTCCACTGATGTGAAGCAGATCACTGATTGGTCAGCAGCCAGAGGGAGAAGCGTCTCACTTCCTGTTTGTCTCCTTCAGATGGCGTTCGTCAGCACCTGCAGGAGTTTCTGGGACTGCGGCTCCGTGGCGCTGGACGACATCAGCTTGAAGCTGGGAGACTGTGAGCTGACGGCCGGTAACAACGACTGTCTGTTCCAACACTAAACCGGATTTAGGGATTTATACACTTTAATCTGACAATTTTAACATTTTTATATGTTAATTTGTTTTTCTTAACTTGGGGCAAACAGTTTTTTTTTTGTCAAGTAAACATTTATTATTTTATATTTTATTTTTTTTCATGCATTTTTTAATTTATCTTATTTGTTTTTACTTTGATTATTTTAACTATCTTTTTTATGTAAAAAGTTACTTTTATTTTTTTCAATTTTTATCAAATTTTTTTAAGCAGTTTGTTCTTTATATATTTTTTTCTTTTGTACCTTTAAATTTCTTCGTTTAATTGGAGTAAGTGGGTTATTTTTTAAAATGTCTTCAACATTTGTATTTATTATCCATTTAGTTAATTAAATAGTTTTTCCTGGTGTCGTATCAGTCGGTTGGTTTGTTCTCTACCAGAGATTCTTTCTCGGGTTTGGACCAATCATGTGGTTTCGTCTCAGGCTTCCTGTCGGCGCCGCTGCCCGGACACTGCGACTTCGAGGCCGGACTCTGCGGATACTCCCAGGACAAACACAGAGACGGCGCCGCCTGGCACCAGAGGAGGGGCCCCACTCCCACCTCCTACACGGGCCCCAGAGGGGACCACACCACAGGACTCGGTGAGGTCACCCCCCGTCACTTCCTGTTTCTGCTGCGGCGTCCCTCAGACAGCGCCCCCTCTGCCTGCGACAGGGTACTACATGTACATCGAGGCGTCGTCACCCATGCTGCCGGGTCAGAGCGCGCGGCTGCGGTCCCGTCCTGTCCGGGGGACCCGGGGCTCTCAGTGTCTCCGGTTCTTCTACCACATGTACGGGTCGGGAACCGGGAAGCTCCGGGTTCGCCGACGAGGACGGGGAGGAGGCGTTGCTGTGGCAACGGAGCGGCGAGCAAAGCGTGGCTTGGCTGAGAGCCCAAGTGGAATATCAGAGCCAGAGGCACCATCAGGTGAGACAGAGATAAATCCTCCTACTGTTGATTTATTAAAATATATTTTAGTCCCTTCACATGTGAAAAAGAAACAAAAAGTATATATACATTTACTTATATTACTGTATATATTTGAGTATATCTATACATTAAGGATGATTATCTGACATAACACGTTTATGTTCTTGAGGATTATGAAGAAAGTTATTTTTAGAAGTGATATTAAGATATTGGTTTAAACATTCGTCATAATTAATCTGAGTTGTCTGAAAATCCAAACAATTGTTTAGTTTGTTGTTCCTGTAAGGTTCAAATAAAATAAATGACTATAATAGAGCTGGTATGTTAAAATGATGCTATTAATAGTAGATGAGTATCTTAGGAATCATAAAGCATATTGGTGTGAGGGGCCCCAAATGAAAATCTGCTTAGGGCCCCCAAAAAGCTTTGACCTGCCCTGTTTAAGCAAATACAAAGTATTTCCAATAACCTTTGTTGTTAATTTCTTTCTGAAAACAACAGAATCTGCTGTAAATAAACATCATGTATGTTAAAGTTTTCAGGTTGAATTAGTGGAAACATTTCTCTTCTATATCATCGTCTCTCTTCTGTAGAGGAATCCAAACAAACAGAGTGAAAGATGGTGAAAACTAGAAAACAAGGATGACAACATTTGAGCTGCTGCCATGACATTAACCCAGATAAGGAGATAATTTTGGATTCTTACTCCCGTTTATCCATCATCACATGGAAGTGAAGCCAACATCAGCCATAAATGGTTCAGTGTTTCATCCAGAGGCTTAAAACGATCAAGCAGTTGGAAAGAAAGACGACAAGAGACAAGAAAATCTGACTTTTTTAAACTTGACAAAATCCAGAAGTTACAAATCCCAAACATGTTAGCTTAAGCTAAAAATCCTAGCATAGCCTTTAGTTTACGTAATTCCAGCTTATATTAGCTTAGTCGTTCTTGTCTTCATAAGGCTTAAGGTAGTATTTTAGCAGATCTCCTAAATCAAAATTTTAAATACTTTCCTTTAGTTAAATTTAGCTTCTTTAGTTCATTCTCATTCAGATTCTGTTAGCATAGCTAAGTTTAACTTAGCTCACAGTTTCTTGTCTTTTCTCTTCTGCATGTCCTCTGGCTAAGTTTAACATTTTTTATTTGATTTAGTTACATTTTAAAAAGCAAGCTAAAATATTGATTTAGCATGTTTTTAGTTTTGCTCAATATAAATTGTTAGCAAAGCTTAATTTATTATAATTTAGTGTATTAAACCAGTGTCAAGGCTTATTTAATTTATATAATCACTCCTTAGCTTATTTTTTATTATATTAGATTCTATTTTCCCTTTAGTTTGAAATTTGTTGTTTTAGTCTCATATTAGCTCCTGTTAATTCAATGGAGCTTAGCTTCAGCAGTGTTTATTTAATTAAGCAACATAAACTTATTTTAACTAAGATATACCTCGATTATCTCAGCCTGTATTATTTTAAAGTTGAATTAAAGTTTAGTTGTCCAGAAAAGATTTAATTGTTTTTTTCCCAGATCGTGTTTGAAGCGACTCGCGGCTCTTCAGTCAGGAGTGACATCGCCATCGATGACATCATGTTGGACAGCGGTCCCTGCCCAGGTGACCCTCTCTCCCTCTCAACTACATCACATAATCCGAGATTATATTCCTGACTCCTCTGTGTTTTCCTGCAGAGACGGAGGTCGGCGTCGCCGTGGGAAGCTCCAACGAGATCGAGTAGAAACATCAGCAGTAGGATGCATGAACCCTCCACTTTCCTCACTTTTTATTTTTGCACATCAGACAACCCGAAGCGCTGTTGACTCCTACATGTCAGCTGGAACATGTGGATTAAAGAAACTCAGTTTTGAATGGGGCAACATATCAGATATATCAGGCTCTCTCTGCACTGATGCGCCACAGATTGTCAGACGGTGTTTTCCTTCACACTTATATGCATTAGATTAATGCTCATCGCTTAAATAAACCCAAGACTGTCGTTGAATAAGATTGTTTGTTGTCACATTTTGAAATAAAACGTGCAGGAATCGTCAGAACAAGAATATGAACCCATCATATTCGGATTTATTACACAAACTGTACATCTGTAGGGTTTTTCTTTGAGTCTTTAGACGGCGCTACATGATGAGAGTCCCGTCGTTGGGGTATTTCATGGACGCCATCTGCTGCGTCATGGCCAGAACATCCTGAAAGCCGGTGCTGAGTCCTGACATGTGCTGGAAGTACGCCTCCTTTTCCACCTGGACCGACAGATTGTTCACCCCGGCGTCTTTCAAGATGGCCGTCACCTGGAGCCGCGGAGACGCCACAGTCAGATAATCGAGTTGCGCAACATAATCTGCGATAATCGAAGCTGTGGAAGGAAACTGGCTTGAGCCGACCTGCTGGATGATCCGCTGCTCCACCACGTCTGACATGACCTGCAGGTGGACGGTCCCGGCGATCACGTTGGCCGAATGTCTCCAGAAGTGAGGGTCTCTGTACGACACAACTCCTTCAATCTTCTCAATCTGCAACAGGACAAAATAAATGAAGAAGTCGGGTTTTAGCACTTAATGGTACTTTCTGCTTAATACAATGTCGGTACAACACTTTAGCTTTAGCCTCCACTTAGCATCCTGGTGTAGCGCTTTAGGGTTAGCTTTTGCTAAGTACCATTTTGATATTTCGCTGTAACTTTAGTTTACGGTCATAACATGCTAGTGTATCTTTAATTTCCACTAAATACAATGGTAATGTAGCGGTTTTTTTGCTTTTTCCTGCTAAATACCGCGTTATAGCGCTTAAGCATTATCTTCTGGTAAATACCATCCTGGTTGATTTAGCATGTAGCATCGCTTTATGTTTAGTACCATGTTAGCATTAGCTACCGCTTAATAACATGCTGTTATAGCACTGTAGCATTAGATTTAGCTTCCACCGTTACAATGTTAGTGTAGAGTTTTTGTTAGCTGCTGCTAAATGTTGTTAAATAACATCTAGCAGTATTAGCATCTGCATAATGATGGCAGAATTAACTCCAGTTTCTTCTTTCAGCTGAGATGATGTGTTGAAAACTCTCATTTTGTTGCTATAATCTCAAACTTTGGTGTAAGAAGTGAGGATCTGGGCCTCCTCACCTTCTCCAGCGCGCCGTTCAGGTCCTTCTCCTGTTCCAGAGGAGTTCTCAGGAGGAGAACCTCGCAGGCGTCCTTCAGCAGCGGGATGACGCTAAGGAAAATGAGCGTGGAGATGAAGAGCGAGCAAATCGGGTCGGCGATCAGCCAGCCGAACTGCCGGATGAGGATGGTGGAGATGATGACGCCGACGCTGCCCAGAGTGTCGGCCAGAACGTGGAGGAAAACTCCTGGAAGAAACGAAACGAATTCAGAGAATTATCGCGTTTCCACGAACTCCTCGGCGCCGCAGCGACAAACCTCGCATGTTGGCGTTCATTCCTCTGCTGCCCGAGCCGTGGGAGTGGGAATGGGCGTGGCCGCCGTGGGCGTGGCCATGACCACCGTGGGCGTGGCTGTGCTCGCCGTGGGCGTGGCCGTGATGCGAGTGTCCGTGGTCGTGAGAGGAGCAGCTTTTCCCGCCGTGGGAGTGGGCGTGGCTGAAGGCGCAGATTCCCACCAGGTTGACCAGCAGACCGCCAACCGACACCGGCTGCAGGAACCACAGATTATCGTTTCAGGTGAACGAGGATTAGAGTCACTGAAAAAAAAATAAATCTCTTTTTCTCACAATTCTGACTTTAATCTTCTGGCATCAAATGACAGAAATTGGAGGACAAAAAACTAAATTAAGAAAAACGATTGAATTTTGAGATTACGGTCAGATTTCAGAGAAAGGAGGTCAAAATTCTAGAAAAAAGATAAAAATTAAAATCAAAATTTGGAGAAAAAAAAACTGAAAAATGGGACAAAAATTAAAAGGTAAAATACTTGGGGAAAAAAAATCAGACTAAATTGGAATTTGGAAAAAAATGCCAGAATTTTTAGATTAAAATCAGAATTTGGAGAAAAAAACCTCAAAAATTAGACAAAAAACAGGCCAAATTCTTCTTAAAAAAAGGAAACATTTTGAGATTATATCACAATTCAGAAAAATACTTTTAAAAAAATCTGAAAAAAAAGAAAACATTCTTTGGAAAAAGAGTAAATTCAGGGCTAACTGAATTCAGAGATTAAAGTCAGACTTCTTTATGTTTAGTGGCTCTAATTGTCTTCCGTAGTTTGTGTCTCTTTCACTGGACCTGGATGTTTGCAGGTTGCAGTGACCCGTAACCTGATCCTGAGAATCCAGATCATTTGTTCCGTGTGAGGTCCAATTAAACCCGACCCATCTGACCAGAGAACCGTTTGTTTCTCCATTCAGGGCGGTGAACGTGTTTAAAAGTGTAGAAAACAGTCGTGACACCAACTGTTTTCACTCGCACACATTCATTCATTCATAAAGCTCCTCTATAAATCAGAGCTCCATTTGGACCGGATCAGGTTTGGTTCTGAAGGCCACCCCGACCCAGAACTCTCTTCTTTAAATCCTGTTTGCTAATAACAACAATAATATTTTCTGTCAAACATCTGGAGGAGCTTAAATCACCCGACTGTGTTTACTCTGCTGACCCAACAAAGTTCTTCCAGAACCAGAACAAACCCGACTGTTTTCACTCCGTTTATTTTGGCTTTTGATCCGGAGTTTGTGTTGCTGAAAGCTTCGTGCCGTGGAGGGAAAACTCACGGTCAGCATGTCGGTGTTGATGTTGGGAGGATCCAGCAGGCGGGTGACCGACTCCACGAACACGAAGAAGGCGATGACCATGAGGAAGAGGCCGTTGATGAACCCAGACAGGATCTCCACGCGGCCGAACCTGCAAGACCAAAACCCAGCAGACCACAGCATGAGGGACACGAGACACGAGGAGTCATTTCTGATACAATTTTTAAAAAAATGTCTAGAAAAAATGAGAAACTTTCTGAGCTACGAAAGTAAAAACACTGCAACACTTTAAATTTTCAAATTAATCTCAGAAGTTTTTTACAAGAAAAAAGAAATTTGAGCTTAAAAAAAAATTTGTAGTAGAAAAAAATTTCAAGTAGAAAAATCTTCTCTTTTTCAAACAAAAAACATTTTAGAAGCAGATTTTCAGTTTTTCTAAGAAATTTCTGATTAATCTCAAAACTTCTACAAAATTGTCATTTTGCTGTTCAGAAATTTCCTATTTATGGCAAATTATTCGAGTTTTCAAACTCAGAAATTTTCTTTTTTCTAACAAATGAGGGACACATGGAGTGTCCCTCATTTGAGGGACTTTTCAAATTAAAAACAATTTCTCTTTGCTCAATGGGACTTTTCAGCAGCTCTAAGCTTCAGCTGTTTATTAGCAGGAATTTGAACCAAGCTAAAGAAAATCATTACTTTTCCCTGAGTTTTACTGGACCTCATTCAGTCCATGTGAAAAATGATGCTTTGACTTCTGTGCTTGTCTATAATAATTTTAAAAACTCTTTCATAAAATTTTTGGGATGGATCTCTGGATTTGATAGAAAAATGTTTGGCATTTTGAGCCAAAAATGTCAAAAAGTTGCATATTTTCAACTTTTGGAAATTCTGAAAAATTATCAGAATTACTCAGTTTTTCTAGCAAATATTGGACTTTAAAACAAAAAAAATGTGTCAGTTTTTTTTTCAAAAAAATATTTGAGCTTAATCTCAAGATTTCAGGGTTTTTTTGGCAGAGATTTTGTCCTGGCCCTAATGCGGCGCCGTAGAACGGCGGTGCTCCGTAGAACGGCGGCGGCGGCCGGCGCGTCTCAGGCGGTTTTACCCGTAGGAGAAGATCCTGGTGGCCTTCCAGCGGGTCATGAGGGCGGCGAACAGGCCCAGAACCAGAGCGGAGCAGTCGAACAGCATGTGGAAGCCGTCAGAGATCAGGCCCAGGCTGTTGGTCCAAACGCCGTAGAACAGCTCCACGAACGTGAAGGCCTGCGGAAAACCACGAACAACTCTGGATGCTACGGTGATTTTAACATAGGGGTCAACTTCAGGTCAACCACTTTAAACCTTTTAAAGGTGCAGCTAAGATGACTTAGCATCGTTAGCAACCGTCCCTTGATTTATTCTCATAATGTTAAAACTTTTATCGTATCATTTGATCCTGGTATTTCTCACTTCAGTTTTGCATTGTTACGACTTTAATGCTGCGACCTTTGACCCTTGCACCACAACGATCTCTGTATTTTCTGGTGAGTGTCTCGTCGTCTTTGGTCGACCTACCAGGTTGAGACACAGGAAGTAGAAGATCTGCCGGGAGTCATACTCCTCCAGGATCTGTTTGAGCGAATCCTTGATGAAGCGGGCAGCGACTGCGACGTGTGCTGCAGGGCGTCGCCCATGAAGTTATACAGTGGCGTTCCCTCGGGCGAGTAGCCCACCAGCGTTCCCTTCTGCCCCTTCTTGGACGGCGCCGTCAGGATGCTGGAGGCTGCAGGTGGGGGCAGAGTGGAGGTCAGAGGGCGAACTGAGGCGCGGTCGGTTCCGCCTCCGTTTGTCACCCACCCATGACGAAGAAGACGGCGCTGACGATGACTCCGCCGGAGAGCACGTGCTCGGTGGCGAGCTGCGGCGGGCGGCGCAGCGAGCCGGTCCAGAAGTTGGCCAGCGCCAGCGCGGCCGGGAAGAGGGCGAAGGCGCCGTAGCGGGCGCAGCGCGGAGCCTCCATCTTGGCGCTGCAGACGGCTTCGACGTAAAACTCCAGGATCACGACGGAGAAGATGATCATGGCGAACGGGACGACGAGCGAAGACCAGGAGTCCACTTTGCTCTGCACAACAAAATTATGTTCATTAACATTTGAAAAATATATAGAATAAGTGTCAAAATAATAAATAATTATACATTAAAAAAATTAAAAACAGAAGGTGGAAATATTTACTTTTATGACTGAAAATTCATATAAAGTTTATATGAATAAATATATGGAGAATTTTGTCTGTTTTTCTGATGACTTTCAATTAAATGGTAAAATTTCAAATATTTATTTTTATTGGAGTTCAAATAAAGAAAGGATTAAAAAAGAATAGATGAGAAGATTTAGGGATAAATAAATTAAGGGATTAAGGAAAGGAGTCATGTGAAGGAAAGGAAGGATGAGAAAAGGACGGAATGATGTAAAGATGGAGGAAAAGAAGGAATGAAGAATAAAAGAAGCAAAAGGAACGAACAGGGAAGGAAAGAAGGATAGGAGAAAGTGAGGATGAAAGGAAAGAAGGAAATGACAAAGGCGGATCGTCACCTCGGTGGTGGCGGTCAGGACGGCGGCCCAGGGCAGCATCACGGCGGCGGACAGCAGGTTGTCGAGCGCGTAGAGCCGCTTGGCTCCGCCGATCTCCACCGACAGCTTCCTGGACGCCGTGTGGAAGCCGACCTTCAGGCAGAGTGACATCACCAGCAGAACCACGCCGCCCTGCAGGCAGAGCAGAGGAAACAACACAAAATCCTCAGAAATAACATCAAGAACGTCCCTCACTTTGACTGAAAAGCCTGAAAAATTCAAGATGGCCGCCATAGTCAAGAAGGGATTTTTTTGCACCAATATTTATCACAGACACATTGTTATCACATTGATAAAGTTGTGATCTTTCAAAATGGCCGCCATGGCTATAATAGAGAATATCTGTTTCTATTAAAATCAGCACAGCTAACCAAAACATTAGCTTCACTAACCACTAATTTACTACTCTAGAGCCACACCTATGCTAATGCTAAGCTACTGAACACAAAGAATTAGCAGAAGCTAATGCTAAAGTACTAAACACTTTAAAAATTAGCAGATGCTAACACTAAACCATTAAAGTTTAGTGCTAGTAATTTACAGAAGCTAATATTAAAAATTTCTAAAGATAAAAACAATTAGTGTAAGCTAAAATTACATGCATAATAAAATTAGATAAAGCTAAAACTAAATACAAACTTGCAAAAGTTAACGTTAATTGCAAAACACATTAAGAATTAATGGACGGAAAGACTGAACCACAAAACATTCTAGAGCATTATTTAATTGTTTTGAAAGGCTTAAAATGGCAGACATCTTGAAAAATGATGATCTTCCTGGAATTCAACAAAGATTTAAGCATTCCTGTTTCCTAATTGGAAAAATGAGGGGCTAGCATGCTAATTTCTATATTTGTAGCCACCTGAAAGGTTTTTACAGGAATGTGCTGCTCTACACGTAGAGAAGAAGTTTTCCTCACCTTGTGATCTGCGACTCCAAGCAGAGAAATGGCCGTGTAGAGGAAGTGTGTGAGCGCGCTGTCATGGTGTCCCTCCGCTGTGTTACGGTTCTAGTCAAGGCCCAAACAGAACCCACCAGTGAAACCAGACTGAAGCCAAAACCGTGGGAACTCTGGGTGAAAGGATACGGTGATGATCTCCCATCTTCGCCATCAGATGGTCGTTATCGAAGAGCAGGAGGCAGATCACAGCGATGATGAACAAAGCTGCTCCTCTGGTCTGCAGGAAGCCACAGAAAAAGCTGCTCAGGTAACCAGAACCGGTTCAGGTACCTGGATCCAGTCAGAGCTACACATCCATTCATCAGCAGCAAGAATGCAGCGTCATATCTGGCCCCTAGAGGGCGCTTCAAGCTATCTTCTACCAGAGTCCATTTGACAATGAAAAAATTCTTTCTGCTTGATTTAGATTGAATAAAGTTTGGCCTGATCAGTTGATTATTTTGTTTTATTAATTGATTCATGACTATACAGAATCAACTAAGGTCCTTAATAAATGTTATTCCAACAAAAAACATTTTTATCTAAATAAAAAACAGAAATTATTGTTTTCAAGTTAGTTCTCTTTTTGTACTGCTGGGTTCAAGAGACGTCTGACTCATTTCTAACCAAAAACAAACTAAAAATCAAAATCACATCCAGTAACCTTGGACGGTCCGCCTCCTGAGTTAGTGAAGAGAACGCCGAGCAGAGCGACGACCACAACGTCACTGTGCTCGAAAAGCAGCAAAGTCCTGAAAAATAAATAATTATCATTACAAAAATGAATCTGAGGAGTTAAATAATTCTAACTGTTGCAATTAGAGATCATGCAGGGAAACAATGTGAAAATATATTGAAGTTTTGTAAAAATGTACCTTAAAGGTCCACAGAGAGTGAGACCAAAGAAGCCCAGGAGGGAAATAACGCAGCTGAAAACAGCATGTTTTAACCAACTTTATCCACTAAAACAGAGAAAAAGGAAAACACTTCAATTAATCACAGCAGATTCATCTTTAAAATATATTTTGGTCTAGTTTTAGAGCGAATATCTTAAAACTGACCTAAACTTTGACAGTAAATAGAAGTTTGTTTTAAGCCAATAATTCTTTAATATTGATGAAAAAGTTCAAGTTACCAATGAAATAATCTGCATAATAAACAAGTTAAAAACTTTTCTGTGAAAATTGTGGGAAAAAAAAATACTGAGTTTAAGTGATGACACCTCCAACCTGCAGGTGGCAGTATATTCTAGTTTACTACATAGCCTTGATTTTTTTTCTCATCTTTTCTCTTCCTTATGTCGATTTTGGACGTAGTTTAAAGAAGAAAAAATGTCTGAAATTCAAAATTAGCAAAGTTGATCACAAAAAAATGTACAAAAACGATACCAAAATCCTGGAGAATAACTTTATTAAAAAGAAGTAATTGTTGAAAATAGTTGTTGGTCTCCAGATGAAGTTCTACAAAATACTAATCAATAGAGGCTGACTATAAATGCCTAGAAGTTTATTAGAGCAAATTTAGAAAAACAAGCAGTAAAAATGAGAATCCAACAAACCTGCCGCTTTGAGATGACTTTCCCCGAAGAAAAGGGTTTTTGAAAGACAAGCAGAATAACAGCACTCCTGCAAAACAAACAAACATCAATGTTCTTAATGTAACATAAATACTAAACCATTCAAGAAGGAATCAGAGGAGCAGAAATACTCACCCTAACTTTAATATGAAGATGAACTGAACTATATGAACGACTTTCAGGATGTCATACGATTCAAAAATACCTAAAGCCTTCAGGATCTTTGAGAGGATCAGCAGAACAATGTATCTGGTTAACCTGCAGGAAAACAGTATAAATTAAACTGTTAGATAAATGAACTGTTTCAGAACACATTATAAGGGTTGAATAGATAAAAATAGGGGGAAATCCTTTATTTTCTAAGCAAACTTCAGAAATTGAATCAAATTAACCTGGCGTCAAGGAAAATAACCAACTTTAATAATCCTAACAGCCAAAAATGGGTCAGGAAATAAAAGCTGTATTGAAATGAACTGATAAATAAACATGTTACCTTGAATCAGGAACTTCCACCATTCCCAGTTTCCCTCCAGACAAAACGTTGCTGCTGTATTTATCCTCCATGTTGACCGGCAGCATATATTTATGTTCCCAGGATCCTCACCATCACTTCAGTGGACAAATAAAACCTCAATGGCGGAACTACTGGAGTAAACAACCAGGCCTCCTCTGGTTCGGGTCCATTCTGCCGGTTCTGCCGCCTTCACGTCCTCTCTGGCCGCCGGATGTCAGAGAAACGCATCTGAACGTTTCGTTGGAGACTGGAAATAAACCCGCTCCCTTTCAAAATGACGACAATAAACGATAAAAGCCAGAAAAGCAGAGTGAGAACTGGCAGAACCGTCCATAAAGCCCGACGCTTCCGCATACGACACACAGTTTACGTCACATCACAGACCACGTGACCGTTGACGCTGCGTGGTGACGAAACCACAAACCGGCCGGTGAACTTCTACGATCAGTCCACTAGATGGAGACATGGAGCAACAGTTACATTAATTGATTCAGCCTGAACAGGAAGTGTTTTTGCGAGTTCATTTTTAATCTCTGCAAGTGGATTATCTGTTGTAACTCGTCCCGTAAAATCCTCCTGACTACCAGTAGTTCAAATTTGTCCTCATAGAGGTCATTTGTAAACTTGAATATTTCCCACCCCCACTGCATACTGCTGAAGTAAGTCCTTTAGCTATCTACAGAGGACATTTAGGGCTTTTCTTTTCAGGGATATCAAATGTTTTGAACCTTCCTTTTCCTCATTCAGAAAAATGGCGTCCATCTGTACAAGCAGATTTTATGGGAAGAGAAAAATTAAGTGATTAATTTAATTTAGTGCTTAAGTGCTTAACTTAATTTTTCTCAAAATTTGCACACTTTTTACTGTGCAAATTTTGGTTTAAAGTTTTGTTGGCATGTTCTAAATAAGTCTCTTAGCAGCATATTAAAACATCCTATGAAGTATTTGGACTGTATTTTATTGTAGTATTTGAAAGTTGAAAAATTGTCCTCTGTAGAGGACATTTGTAGTTATTTCATCTGTTTTGTTCTGTTTTTTTTGTTGATAGTTCTAGATAAAAGAAAGAGAGTCGTTCTCAGATGCAGAGAGAATTGTATTGCTGATTATTGATGGAGGGCTGCACAGTGAGAAGGTCCTAGGTTAAATTCCTGGCCTGGGGTCTTTCTGCATGGAGTTTGCATGTTCTCCCTGTGCATGCGTGGCTTCTAAAAACATCCCAGAGCTACATAATGTAGAACCATCAGCAAATAAAGTAAATGTGAACCAGTTAGATTCATTATAAATATTATTTATATAAAGTAGAAACATTTAGGACCCAGTACTCTAATAACCTCCAGTAAATCTGAATTTTATCTCCTCAGGTTTTGGTTAAATTTCCATGAAACTGTCTGACTTTGTCAAATATCAGGGTTTCCTCCACAAGGTTCTCATGAGAACTTGTTGGAGTTCTGGTCCATTCCTCCTGACAGAACCAGTAGAACTGGGTCAGGTTTGAAGGTTCTTTGTATAAATATTAACTTTTTATGTCCAAATTGATAATAACATGACAATCATCATTTCTTAGGTCAGAGAAGAAGAATATTTTCCTATCTTCCTTCTCCAACATGGTGGGTCCATTAAACTGTAATTTGTCTGCTGTTGAAAAAGAATGCTGCTTTCATTTTTTTTAACAAAAATCATATTTTAAATTTAAATGTGTTTATTGTTCACTAAAAAATATGAAGTACAACTGCAGTAAAAATACAAAAAATAACATTTGAATCCAAGATTCATTTCAGAATATAGGAGATAACAGAAACAAAAAATATCCAGTAATTGAGAAAAACTGCAGTAAATTCAAAGAATCTGATGATAAATGAAAGGTAAAAAATCAAGAGAGAGACAAAACATCCTGAGATTCATTGTGATTTTTTGACTGGAAACAGAAAAAACAACATGATGATCCAGTTATAATCCTGGAATAATCCTGAAATAATCCTGGAATAATCCTGGAATAATCCCAGGGTTGTGTAAAAAAGTTTAACCAAGACACAGATTGGATCCATGAAAATATGTTTCTGAATGAAACAGACATATAGAGACTGAACTATCTTTTAATCAGTGAGATTTTCTAGCAGGATGTGAAACTTTAGACTCTTTAGACTCAAATCAGCTGAGAGACACTGAAGAACCAGAACTGGTCCAACACAGTCTAAATCCAGGAATCAGAGGTTCAGTGAATGTGGTGTTGAAGGTGTGGAGGAGGATTAGTGAGTCAGAGGAGACTCTGTAGAAGGACAGAATGCCAGCAGGACAGTCCACATACACTGCTACTCTGTTAGAGACAGAGGAGGAGGAGAGACAAGTGTCTATGTCATTGTGTATGACAGAATAACCATAATCAGAGCATCTCAGACTCCAGGAATGATCATTATATCCAAACAAACAGTCTGTACTGATTACTTTCCTCCTGATTCTTCTGTAACTCACTGATATATAAACTAGTCCTCTCCACTCAACCTCCCAGTAACAGCGACCAGTCAGACCAGTTCTACACAGCAGCTGAGACCAGTAATCAAATCTGTCTGGATGATCAGGATATGACTGAAGCTCCTTCATCCATGTCACCTTCCTGTTGTCTTCAGACAGTTTGAGGTTTCTGCTCACTGTGTTTGTGTCGATGGTGAGTTGACAGGAATCTGATGGAGAGAACAAACACAATCCAGCTGCAGTTATTGATCATTTATTGACACTTTGACTCCTGAATGAGTGATGTGACAGTTTGAAGATGGTTGAATGTGAGCTGCTTTGTTGTCATGAATCAGATGAAAAACACACTTACATCGCTTCAGTCTCCATGGACCTGGAGTCAAGAATCGGCCTCCAGCAGGCTCCACCCTGAAAGGAGGAGGGGTCAGACCATCAGTCTCTTTCAGCACTTCCTCTACCAACCAGCACCACCAGGTGGCGCTGCACACATTTACAATGAGCCCAAGAAGAAGAAGCAGCATCCTGAACCCAGCAGCTGCAGTAATGGCTTGTGAAAGTAATCCTCCCTCCACTGCAGAAGTTCTGGATGAGCTGATCTTGTCTTTTTATCTTTCCTAGTAAATTTATCAGAACTTTGGATCTGAACCAGTTTCTGCTCTCATTTTTACATTTTCTACTTTTTCCTCATCATTCACTTCAATTCTTCCTTCCTTCTGGAAAACAAGGGATTTCTTTTATTCCCTGATTTCATTCTTACTTTTGATCATTTTCCAGATGTCGCCCCCTGGTGGAGATAAACTGCCACATAGATGGATCTACTAAACTTCTAAATCTATTTGCCTTATGAATAGTTTTCTTCATTTTTCATGTGTTTTATATTTTAAAAGCATTATATTTTAAAACACATAAATTCATTAAAGTTGAGAGGTTTGCTTTAAATCTGAATTTATTTATTTCACTCTGAGATCTTTAAACATCCATCTGATCACCATGGAGCTGCTTTTCTTCTCCTCTTTGCTTCTGGGGGCTGATTGGTCTGAAGCTCCATCCAACATGGTTTTAATGTTTCTATCCTCAGTAAATCATCATAGGAATCTAACAGCTGAACTCCTTAGACTCCTGAATGAGTGATGTGACAGTTTGAAGAAGTTGAATCAGAATAAATTCATTATTATTTCCAGTTCCTATTTAGCTCCAGGCTCTCCTCACGTTCTTAGTCAGAAGAATTTTCCACAATCAGCTGAAAATCTTCCTAAACACGAGTGTTAAATCAAGAACTGATCCGTTTCCTTCATCAACATCTTTTGTCTCTTTTCCATCATTCAAACATCATCAGTTCGTATCTCTAAATGTTCTTCTGCTCTTTCAGTTACTTTCAGTTTTCTGTTTCCATCCCATTATATTCCATATGCATTAAAGTTACTACATGTTATTGATAATAATTATATCTTTCTGGATCAGTTCTTCTATTTATGTTTCTTGTTTCTTTCTTCCTGTCACTGAAACATTTAAACTGATTCTAAAATCTATATTTGCTCTCAGCCATGTCTCTTTATTACTAATTATTTTCCTCAATATCATCAAAGATCCAGAACATCAGTGGATAACAGATATTTGTGTCAAAAGCATTAAAACCAGATTAACAGGTTTAAACAAAGATCAGAGATAAAAACATAAAAGCTTAAAGTGATCAGTAAAAACTAAACCTCCTCCATCATCACTGACTAAAGTCACCAGGTGAGCAACAGCTGATCTATAATCAATAATAACACCATGTGATCCAGCACTACATCTATCCACAACACCAATAATATCTGATTTATGATGTTATTAATCTTCATATTTTAACTTCCTGTCCATCAGCCAATCAGCTTCTTGTATTTCCTCAGTAGATCCATCAGTGGAGCCCCGCAGCCCATGATGCTCCTGGTTTGTGAAGACAGAGAGACAAACTGAACTCTGATAGGAAACAGTTTCAACTGATTTTCTCTCTCCAACCTCTTGGTTCCACATGGAGCTATATTTGGCCCCCTGCTGCTCTGAATACCATGTTATTGTGGTTCCAGTAGATGGGTTGTTTCCCAGGTTCATTCAGAACCATGTGGAAGATTCCTACAGTTTTTAATTGGATGTAGTTTGCAAACTTACAAAGCCAAAATTACCAGCAATATTTATAATTTAACTGTAATAAATACAAGCCAGATACTGAATTAGCATAATAAATTTTAAACTAAATAAACCCAGCAGACTGACTAAAGACATTTCTCCCTCTTCCTCCTCTATCAGACCTTCTCTGCTCCTGCAGCAGGTTCCTCCATACCTGAGAGTTTCCAGTCTCCAGTGTGGATCCTTCAGTCCAGCCGACAGCAGCTTCACTCCTGAGTCTCCTGGATGATTGTAGCTCAGGTCCAACTCTTTCAGATGGGAGGGGTTGGAGGTCAGAGCTGAGGCCAGAGAAGCACAGCCTTCCTCTGAGACCAAACAGCCTGATAAGCTGCAGACACACAATTCATCACATGATGAGAAAATGAGAACATTGAGGTAGAGACCAAGGTCTGAACTGGATATTTAAATGTGAGAAAAACACTCAAGAAAACTGGAGTTTCACCTGTTAATAACATAAAATAGGAATAAAACTGTATTCTCTCTGTAGGTGATATAAATCTAATTTTGTTATTTGTAAAATTAATGATAAAGTCTAACAACTGGTTGGAGGAAGAATCTGCATTAATGCTTCTTTGTACTCTGATGATGCAACAATCTGTCAAGTGTCCAGCGTTACACTAACAGTTAAAGCCTGATCTCCATCTTTCTACATTCTCTCTTCTTGGTTCTTTCAGCCT